GGAGGGCAAGGGGATGCTGAGGAAGAGGAGGACACAGGGGGCTGAGGGGGGGGAGGAGGAGGAGGACGCTGAGGGGGAGGGGGACCACCGAGGAGGACGCCGGAGGACACAGGGGGCTGAGGAGGAGGCGGAGGAGGAAGACACTGAGGGGAAGGGGGACCACCGAGGAGGACGCTGGAGGGAGAAGGGAAAGGGGCTGAGGAGGAGGAGGACTCCGGAGGACACAGGGGGCTAAGGAGGAGGAGGAGGACGCTGCGGGGGAGGGGGACCACCGAGGAGGACGCGGGAGGGAGAAGGGAAAGGGGCTGAGGAGGAGGAGGACCACCGAGGAGGAGCGAGACTAAAGAGAGAGGAGTCAGGGATGTCTGAGGAGAAGGGCAGCTCCTAAGGGTGCCACCGAGGAGGAGGACGAGGAGGAGGAGGGTGGTTGAGAAGGAGACTGGCAGAGGAAGAGGAGGGCAACTTTGGGGAGGAGTTGGGGGGAGCAGAGGAGGAGGACCCCTGAGGAAGAGGAGGACAGGTGGGAGGAGGGCGGTGAGGAAGGACAGCCAGGGAGGAAGCGCCTGCTCAACTGTCCCTTTCCTCCTCAGCCGCCCTCCTCCTGCGCTGTCCTCCTCCACCTCCACCGCCGGCCTCCTTGGCTGGGCTTCTCCTCCTCAGCTACCTTCCTTCTACTCCTCGGTTGTTCTCCTCAGCCACCCTCAGTTCTGAGAGACGTTGTGTCCTTGTTCAGGAGGGGGCTGCCTTGGTTCCTGTCCTGGGGTAAGTGCTCCTGCTTGAGGGAGAGAACCCCATCACGGGGTGGTCTGCAGGGCTCTGTTTTACATGGGATCTGTGGAGATTTTACTTTTGAAGACTTCCAGGCATCGCCACCAGGAAGTCTGGAACTACAGATTCATGAAGGCTGGCTACTGAGAGCTCATCTCAGGGTTTCTCAGGCCTTGGTGTCCTCAGTCTTGCAGGAGGAAGAGGCAGAGGAAGTGAACATCAGGCTGCTAAACCCTACGCTGCAGACTCCCTGAGGGGTGCCCATGTGCACAGCTGAGAAAGAATCTTTCCCGCAGTTTAAAGATAATAAGCGAAACCCAAATCTTTTGACTTTCCTCATCTCCTTTCTACCTACCCTTATTTCTTGTGTCCTACCTCAGTTTCACTGCCCTACAAATTCCCTGGCTCCTATTAAGCCCTCTTCCCCGCAACCCCTGGCATCCACCAGTGCTTCCACTCTCTCCAGAAAACCCAGAGGTGGCATGGTTGGGTACGTGGCATTTTCACCCTGGCTCTTTCACTAAATCATGTGCATTCTAAGCTCCTCCGTGTCTTTTCAGGACTTAGTGACTCATTTGCTTTAGTGCTGAATGACATTCCCTTGTCTGGACCAGCTACAGTTTATCCACTGGCCCATTGAGGGACATCCTGGAGGGATTGCAGAGGTGAATGCCATCCTCAAGGACCTGAAGAAGGCAGAAACTGTGAGGCCTACCACTAGGGAACCCTTTGCATGGTGCCAGTTATTGGGGACACCTGCATTGACCTCCCAATCGCCTTTCCAGGTCATGGCCATGACGGGAAAGATAAGAAACAGCAAGAGACAAAAACAGTGGGTGCATAGCAGGGATCTGGGATGACCAGTTGCTCTCAGGGAACAAAAGACCAGGAGCCACCCAGAACCTTGGTATTTATTCATTACACCTGAGTCAGGGGCAGTGGGTGAAGGGCAGTGGGTGTTTCCAGGAACAGTAATGGTGACTACAGCGGGCTGGGAAAAAGAAGAAAGCATTTTTGCAAGGACAAGGACAAGCAGGACGGGGCCAGTGAGGAAACTAGTTTCTCCAAATGCCTATATGTCTCCAGCAGGTCTTATCTTGCCCTAGGGCTTCCAGCGGTTACCAGGAAAGAGCAGGGATTTTCCAAGTTCCAGTCTGCCTCAAGGACAGGTCAAGAACAAGTGTGGATGTCCCCTACCCTCAATTTATAATTCTTGTTCCCAGCACACTACACTACTGCTCCAGTAGCCAAGACAGGTCTTCAAGAATGACGCGTGCAAGCTAACCAGGCAGTCACCCCAACCGCAGCTGCTCTTCCAGACGCAGTCCACAGGCAGTCAGCACACCCCGCAGAACCTGGCATGCAGCTGCTGATGTGGCAAATGCCTTTTCCTCAAACCCTGCTAGTAAAGATCAGTCAGCAGAAGCAGCTGCTGAACAAAAAGCCACCAAAGAGGCACCTGAAATAACAGGTATTTTTTACAATAACAGGTATTTTTTTACGGGGCGTCTGTGTTGCTGGAGAGTCAGTCTCTGGTGAGTACTCTGTCCTTGTCTTTTGCCATGCATGTGTGAGAAGCCTCTGGTGTCTGTCTCCTATAAAGGGACCAATTCTGTTGGGTTAGCATGGGGAGCAGCTGAAGCAGGAGACGGATCACGTGTGGGGCGAAGCAAGGGAGCCTCCAGAACACAGAGCTCCTGAGGCAGGTCACATGAATAAAATGTTCCAGCCTCAAGAACATCTGTGTAGGTGCCTAAGGCAAGCTACATGAATAAGCCATTGGGTGGAGGAGTTTCATGTGATAGTCAGCCTCCCAAGTATATAAATAAACACTCTACAGCCTTGGAGCTCTCACTCCTCCTCCTCCCTTCCTTCTCTCATCAGGAGAGAGGGTTCCATATGGCTCAGTTTTCTGTATTCTGACTCTTGTCCTTTTTTCTCCATCCTCTCACCATTCTCTTCCTGGGAACATCAAGAGCTGCACAGAACAAGGAAGGTTAGAGCCCCACATGAGCTCCTGTAACTCCAGTTGTCTCCCTAAAGGCCCCATATCCAAATAGAGCCTCACCAGGGGTTAGGACATCAGCATGAGAATGTGGGGAGTGCACAATGGCAGATGTAACAGCCATCTTCTTTTGAATGGCCTTTGGGTCATACTCTTGAGCAGCTTCCCTTCCAAAAGACATCACATTGGGCCATTGCTTTGATGGTGCTATGCTGATTGGACTTAGTGACTGAGAAGTAGCAATGGCTCTGGACTTAGTGGTTAAACAGTAGTATGTCAGAGGGAGAGAAATAAGCCCAGCAAAATTCAGGGACATTCTACCTCTAGGTGTGACACCTAGTGGGCCTCTTTTTTTTTTTTTTTTTTTTTCCCCTTTTGATTTTTTTCCAGTACCCGGAATCGGACTTACAACCTTGCGCTTGTCAGGCAGGCACTGGGGAGTTAATTTGGGGCTTCCCACCACAG